TTTTCTGTTTATTTTTGTCAAGGAGTCCATCTTGTTGGAATGTGTGGGAAGCGTCAGTATGCTATGCTTCCACCAGACACTCCAGTGAATGACTTGAGCAGAGATGCACTCGTTTGCACAAATAAATTTAAAAGCTGTAAAGTGGTTAAATTTATTATTTGTGATGTTTTTAAATTAGTCAGAAGACTGCTGCCTGCGTCCTTAGAGCATAGGAAGGGCAATCCACTTTAGCAGTAAATGTCTGGACTGAATGAAACTGGAGCAACTTGACAGATTTAAACAATCAATGATAAATGATGCGTGCTCATGATTAACAGTTGTAGACGTTTATGTGAAATATTATGTTTAAGCCCTCTCATTCTAAATTTTCTCCTTGCATCTCTTTGCATTTATATTTCTCTGCAAGCTTAATGTTTGTGTTTTGGGCGCCGCCATGCTCTCCTGCTCTGCTGGCGCCCGTGTCTTTGGACGTTCTTCGTGCCAACAGACACAGGACTAGGTTCTCAGTAGCCCTCAGTGCCACGTCAGCTTAGAGCGCACTTTAGAAATACGGAGGGAAGAAGGCAGTGCGGCCCGTAACTCTCAGGCGCCCGTCTGATTGTACTGTAGGATGAGTCCCTGGAGTAGGAATGCCACGTGTGAGACCAACCACAGCCAGGGTTCCCATCTGTTCCTGAACGTGCCCTCGATGGGGTGGCTGCGCCTACACCCGCCACGTGCGTGGGGCCGCCTACTGCTGCCTGTCCTCGGTGATGCCGCGCACGGGCATTCTTTCAAACCCTCGCTTACCTAATGGTTTAAAAACCGTACATTGCTATGGTGGTAACTGAGAGACATGGGGTTACTAGTGAGTTGGCATAGCTTTTCAAATTTGTTCTCCATTTTGTTCCTTCTTTTTGGAATTACTTTTCATGTTCTTAGTTTTTTCTAGGATGCCCACTTTTCCCTTTTTATCTGTAAGACTATTTCTGTTAACCTGGTGTCTTCTGTATGCCCATATTTTTGTATATGCAATTTTTGTCATAGAAAAGTTTTATATTTCCATTTAGTGAATTCCATGAATCCTTTTCTCGAGAATTTCTGACTTTTGAGTTAAGCTAACCAGTACTGTTCGCACACACTAATATTGTCTTCACACACTTTTATTTATTTTGTTTTTCTATGTTTGACAATCATGGATGCTCTGAGATTGTTCTTGGAATACAGTTAAGTATGGGAATCGTTTATAGTTAGCAAGATCACTAAGCAAAGGTCTTAAGATTTTTTTTGACCGTTTTTTCTCCAATGATGTAATAAATCCTCATGTAATTCGAAACTCTTTCTGGATCCTCCCTTTTGGCTCATGGACATGACTGTTCAGCAGTAGGAATGCAAAATTGTGATGGGTTTAATATGTTGTGGATCCATTCCCCCCTCAGTACTGATCTTATTTCACAGAATACAACTTTAGAACTATAATGCTAAATTCCAAAATCTTCTTCATGGGATTCTTATTGGAATTGCATGAGTGCGTAGATAAATTTATTGGGTTGGGGGTAGCATTCCTGTTTCATTCATTTGGGAAGTGTCTCCTGTGCCTCAAGGTCGTGTGGGTTCTGCTGTAGGGCTGGGAATCTGGCAGCGAGCATGGTGGACAAGATCCCCTGTCGTGGGACCTCCATTTTTTTGGCAAGAGGCACGAGTTCTGATGGGTTCCAGGGAGAAAAGCAAGGCAGAGAAGAGAGACCAGGAGCCCTGAGCCAGGCTGTTTTGCACGGCCTGTTGAGGCTACACTTCAGCCACAACCTAGAGGAGGTGGAGAGGGCCCACATGGGACTCTGCGGGACCAGGAGAGGAAGAGGGAGTGGGAAGACCCCGGGCCAGGCGCTCGGGCCACCCCGGCCGAGCAGGAGGCCAGGAGACCAGAGGAGGCAGAGGTCGGGGCGTGGGCCTCGCTGGCCGTGAGAGGAAGGAAACCCCGAGATCTTGTTCAGAGGAGAGGTGTCATGTGGACAGTGCTTTCAGGCTCCCCCTGGCGACAACATGAAGAACCGTGTTGGGGACAAGGGTCGAAGCCAGAGACCAGTCACTGGGAAGCAGCGACCAGCCCGGAGAGGATGCGGCGAGCAGCCCGGGCACTGGCAGTTGGGGTGGGGAGATGGGTTTGCATCGGACTTATTTCACGGGCGCCACAGGATCCCGCTGGACCGGCGTGGCTGGGACTGAGGCACCAGAGTAAGGACGCTGCCACCCGCCTCCATGGGCAGGTCCCGGTGTGGGCAGGCCAGTGTGGGCAAGCTTTGTCTCTGTTCATGTTTTGCTTTTAATTGTTTTGTTTCTGAATGGCAAACACCAGACTTTAGTTCTGAAGAAGTTGACTTAACTACTTTATTTCCAAGTAACGTGTGAAAGAACGTGTTCAGTGACTTAAAGGACCAGGACGGCTGCGACACGAGGACCGCCAGGCTGGGATGGGGGCCTCTCGCCCTCGCCTGTCCGGCTCCGCCTGTGCTCCTTTGGCCCCTCCCGTGCCTGTCTCTGGGCTGTGTTCAGCTTTGCTCAGCTATGTCCCGAGGACAGCAGACTGTGGCGCTCAGCAGATAGTTATCTCTGGCTCACTGATGTCAGTTTGTCAGAAAAATGAGTGTTTCGTAGAAGGAAGTGATTAGAATAAAATTATAATTTTGAGTTGGAATGCTTAATTATCTCCAATTTGGTTGTGTTCCTGACTTTATCTTTTTTAGCAATTTGAGCAGAAGTTGAGCTTATTTCTGACAGCATCCTCTGGCTCAGATGGCACAATAGAGCAGCACATGATTTGTTTCAGATCTCTGTTGAATCCTGTTTGCTTTCATTAGCTAACGTTTTAAGTGTTTAACATAGTTTAAATACTGTGTTTAGCTTGTTGAAGCTCTCACTGTCCTTTCCGTGGCCTTTACCTGGAAAGCTTCATCCTCCTTGAAGCTTAGTTCGGCTGTTTTCTCGTTGTGGGAGAAGCTGGGCAGACGCAGCCTCATCTCCAAGACGACTAACTGGCAGAACTGGCAAGGTGGTCGGCTTGATGAATTAGCTGTGATACTGTACGTGAGTGTGAGTTTTACATATGAGTCTAAATGGATCAGAATTGTACTTTTTGATGTAAACTGAAATAGTTTTTGTTCTAAATACCAAGTTCAGCATATGCCCCTTTCTCAGAAAGAGCTGCCCTGGGCTCGTGACGGCCTTTGGTGACGGGTCCCTGGAGCCGCACGCTGCGGTCCGGGTCCTGGTCCTGGATCTGCCTCCCGGGGCCTGACCTTGCATGTCTGAGCACGCTCCTCGTCAGCAGCTGCCTCCAGGTCCTCTCCTGAGTGTCCTGCCATCTCCGCTCCACAGAGGCAGCAGTCCTGCCCATGGAGGTCGCCCCTCGCTGAACGAAGCTCAGTGCAAGTCTGTCTGCGGGTGTGTTCATAAATGTGCCAGTGAGTCTGCAGCAGGAGTGCGGGAAGCCGGCCCATCTCACACTTCCCCACAGAGAGGCCCATGTTGTGCTGATTAAAGCCTGTGTTTGTAGACAGGATGCGCAATGCCTTCAGATACCACACTCTGAACAACCTCTCTCTGCAGGCACCGCCTCTGAGTTAATTTTTTATTCGACATTCCTTCTGAGTTTTGGGTTCCATCTGTACCACTGTAGGCTCAGTCCGTATGAGCCAAACCTGGTATTCCTGCCCGACGGTAGCACGTTGATATGTGTGCTGTGCGGTAGTTGTGCGTGTGTGTGCACGTATGAGTGTGCTTGTGCATGTAGATGGTTTCTAGGACACAGGAAAGGGTTCTGGGAAGTGGGAAGGACACAGCTGGTGTCCTGGATGACGTGAAAGGGTCTGGACCCCCCAGGGCAGCAGCGGAGGTTTGTGCTGGGGGCTGCTGGTGACGACTGTGGGAAGCATTCGCAGCCACGTCCTGCAGGACAGGTTGAATGGCGGGCCCACCCTGACCTTGGGAGTGACGGGCATGGGGTCTCGGGGAGAACGTGAACTCTGTGGGGAGGGAGAAGTGCGGGCAGAGCCGGGACATGGAGGTGGGGCTGACGGTGTCCTCCTCAGGCCGTGGGGCCCGGACATCCTTACAGCTGTTTCCGCGGGAAGTGAGGCCCAGCCGTCGTGTGTGTGGGTCAAAGGAGAAGGTAAACCCAGAAGGGAACCCGGCTCCCAGCTCTAGATCTGCCGCTGGGGGACTTGGGACCTGCCACGTGGACGTCTTCTCTCAGGTTCTTCTCCTTTAGCACAAGCACGGCTGCTTTTCTGGATCCTACAGGCAGGTTGAATAAAGTGTGCCCATTTGAGCACATGCTCTTTCGAGTCCACCCATCGTCCAGGCCACACCGCTGGACCCATTATGTGGGAGCTTCCTGTTCGCCGCTCCAGGAACAAGAATGAAAACGCACCAGTCCCGGCCTTCCGGCTGTTTCCAGTCTGGGGTCTACAGGCGTGGGACGTGGGAATAAACGCAGAGCGGCGAGGCGGTGTGTAGCAGTGCTGTGCGACACTGACGGAAGGGAAGGAGGGCTGTTGCTGGACTTAGTCACCGTCGTTGGGAGTCTGCAATTCTAGTCAGGCCTTAATGATCCGAGTTACGCTCCTGGGCTGCGGCTGGCTCCCCTGCCCGTGTGCTTCCATTTTGCAGGTCACGCAGGTGGAGCTGGCCCTCGGAGACAGGAGACAGGGAAAGGGGTCCGGACAGCCAGGAGCCCAGAGGTGTGGGAGGTCACCCAAAGCCCACACAGCCGTTGCCTCATTAGAAAGGTGTGACGAGGAAGCCACGGGCCCCTCCACCTGCTCCTGGAGATGCCGCAGGCACAGCCCTCGAGGTCTCACCATCCCCGTGTGGGAGGATCACATCCACTGTGAGCCCAGTGGCTGCTGGGGGGTCGTGTGCCCTGTGGTGCACTGATGCTCCAAGGGCTTGGGAGAGGCCGTTAGGACTCCTGTCTGCGCATGTTTGCAGATCAGACCTTTGTAACAGCCCTGAGAGGTCACATGTGGATCGCAGCGGCGCATTCGCCAGTCTGTGTGTCGAGTGGCCTCTGTGCTAGCCTCACGTGCCTCAGTACGGTCTGCCCGTGGATGGTCGTTCAGTAAATAAGTACCATCAGTTGCAGAAACACACTCAGTTTTTCACTCTGTGATGCCTCTCACGCACTAGCATATTCCTGTTGGGAATATGCACGTTCTGGCTCAGTCGATGGGGTGCGTGGGGCTGAGGGTCTGCATTTCCAGGGGACGCACAGGAGGCCCCCCCAAACCCTGCCACTTAACAGAAGCATCTGATGAGTCTAAAGCCCCTGGTGCTCCGACAGCATCCCACATTCCTTAATCCAGGTCTCTGGGGACACGCGGGGGCCAGTGTGCGTTAGACACCCTGTCACTCCTGTGTTTACAGATAATAGAATTTTCAAGCTTTTTAAAAAAACTCCTGGTTGATTTTCTTTAGAAGCCTGTTATATATAATTCCTGTAAACACTGCTCAGGAACAGTTACTCACAGCTGCGTTCTTGGTGATAAATCAGCGGACTCCTCTGCGGAGGGCAGGTCTCGCTCGTATGTGGTGGGTGGACATGCTGTGGACAAGGCTCACGCTGGTGCCACCTCACGCCTCTCCTGTGTCCCCTCTGTCTCTGCAGACTAAGACCGGCATCGCTTTGTTGCACGACGAAGGGTCCGGAAATGCGTATGACGTCCGGGTGAAGCTAACGAAAGAGGTACTGACAATTCAAAAGCAGGATGTCATCTGTGTTAGTGGAAGCAATCCCAGTGCAAATGTAAGTGCCCCACCCCAGGCCCAGTGGTCTGTCTCACCCTGTGTCTCGTTGATGAGCCAAGAAGGCCACACTCGGATGGAAGCCACTTAAATGTTATCCTCTAGCACTGCTTGCTGATGGAAAGCCACTCCGCTGTAACTTAAACGTCCCCAACTGCTGGCTTTGTTATCACAAAACAAAATATCATTTTCAGGGCTGTATTATTAACTGTTTCCCTGACCTTTTTTTTTTTTTTTTTGGTGAGGAAGATTGATCTGTTGCCAGTCTTCCTCTTTTTGCTTGAGGAAGATTGGCCATGAGCTAACATCTGTGCCAATCTTCCTCTATTTTATGTAGGACGCAGCCACAGTGTGGCTTGACGAATGGTACTAGATACACACCCGGGATCCAAACCTGCGAACCCTGGGCTGGCAAAGCAGAGCGCACACGAACTTAACCACTATGCCACTGGGCCTTCTGCCGCTCTCTGACTTTCTTAGTTTCATGATGTATTTTCCTTGATGAGCTTTACATAGCCCCAAACACTGCAATGAAACGTGACCTATTCTCATTGGAAACTAAAAAGATATGATATGACAGATAATCTGTTTACTGAAAGAATAGTAATAACTTGAGAGTTTCCATCTAGAATGATGTGCAATGAAAGATAAAGTATTTTTCAGTGCTGGGTATCAGCTTCGTCCCTGGCGCCTGTGGATATAAACATGAATTTTCATGCTAAATCATGGTCCTTCTTGGCTTCAATCATACTCTTGACTTACAAATGAAATTTTCTCAAGGGCAAGAAATTTGTTTGTTAGATGTAATAGAGTATTGAATAAAAATTAGGGAAAACTTTTTTTGTAGCATTTGTAACTTTTGTAACCGTATCAATTTCCTGTTTTCTTCTCGTAGGCTCAGATTGTGGAGATGTATATAGTTGGTGATATAGATAACACATGTGCATATATATACATCCAGTGTCAGTTATCGACCTTTCGTCACTGTCTCATAGACCCACCATTAGCCACAAAAACTGATATTCAAGAAATTATGTCCTTGAAATTAAGTTCTTTTGAATGCATTTTTGAGAATATTCCAGAGGTATTGTGGTTTCCCAGTTCACGCTGGCTCTTGTGGAGGGCACAGCCTCCAGATACCCCTTGCTTATCTGGTTGTCTGCGTCCTCATGACCTTTACCCTGGAAATGAAGTAAAGAGGACATGTCCACCCGATGTGTAATGCTTCCATCAGTATCTCTTCAGTGGGCACAGATGCCAGCCGACTAGGACGTCTGTTGAGAGCCTGACGGGTCAGGATGGGAGAAGCCACCTCGAGGGAGGGTGGAAGGCAAGGTGCCATCCTTTCTGCTCTTTCCCTTGAACCTCAGACCCGGGTCCTGGATCTCGTCCTGTCCCGTCCCCTCTTCACTCTAGAGAGCCCCGTGGACTCCACCACCCCTTATAAATCCCACCTACCCAGGTCTCCTTTCTTCGCAGCACGGAGCGCTCTATCTAAAATGTCCATTTCTGTCCAAATGTGATGCGTCTCCTGCGCCTTCTGCAGCCCAGTCACCAGCCATAGGTTGGAGCTGTTTTCCTGCCCTTGTTCTGAACACCCAACGTGGGTAGATCTGGCAAAGGGGGGATTAACTTGGGAAGATTGACTAACCATTTAAAAGATGCCCTTCTTAATAGTGATTGTATAATGTATAGAAAGTCTCAGAAAAGTTACAGTGAAAACACTTAATGTTCCTAAACTATATTGTCCTGGAAAAATAAATTAGAATTTTTAAATTCGTAATGTCAGATTCTCTACGCAAGGTTAAGTTCTTGATGAAAATTATTGACTACTTCCTAAGGAAACTGGGTGTATGTTCAGACCTATAAATGTCTGTTTATAATTTCAAGTGATTTATTGATGCCTAAAGCTTGACAGTAAGATGCCCTGCTGTGAAATAACTGGGTGGGTGAGGACACACCGTTCACGTGAGTTTGTATCCAGGCTCTGCAGCTCCATTCCTTAATGATGTCTGCTGTTCCCTCCCTCCGTTCTAGAAAAGCAGGGAACGTATTTGAGAATAAACACACATACCTGGGTTGGATCATTGTTGGGGGGAGGGGTTCAGAGGAAATTTTTGTACCTACAAAAACAAGGATGAACCTCAAAAACCTTTTGCTGAGTTAAGGCAGACACAAAAGACCACGTGTTCTATGATTCTGTATTTATGAAATGTTCAGAATAGGAAAATCCACACAGGCAGAACACAGATTAGTGATCGCCAGGGGCTGGGGGAAAGAGCAAGCCTGGAATGACTGTTAACGGGCATGGGGCTTCCTCCTTGGGTGATAAAAATGTGCTGGAATTGATTGTGGTGAAGGTTGCACAGCTCTGTAAATATTTTTTTAAATAACCATTGAATTGGACACTTTAAATGTGTGACTTGAATGGTATGTGAATTTTATCTCCTTAAAGCTATTGTGTATGAAATACATTATTCTTAGTAAGATGGCAAGTTCGGCCTGCATCTGACAGCTCAGAATTTCTTCTCTATCCCAGCTCCAGAGTCAGATTGGGTTCAACCCCATTAGTTTGAAGGACAGTTGAACCCTTGTATTCTGCAGTTGATTATAAAAATAAAACCAATCTTGCTGTGAGAATTTATCATGTATTTGGAGAACAAGAAGGGCTATTTTTAACAAAGCTCACGGCTGTTTTTCGAATTGCAGTGAGAACACCTCCGTGGGGTTCTCGGAACATTGCAGGTCTCGTTGTATTGATAGTATCGAATGTTCCACGTTAACCTCCGCTGGAGGACCTGGCTGAGAACAGTTATTTTCTGAAGGACAGAAATGAAGATCTAATCGTTCTGTGGTTGATCAACAGGAGAAATGAGTGGAAATTTTACATCTCACAACCTGGAGTCCCCGTGTGGATCCCAGGAGACAGAAAGTTAAGCATTAGGTTCAGCTCAACACATATTTACTGAGTGCACAAGGAAGATATTAAGTCAGGCAGAAATTGGCTTCTCACTGGGACCCACTAAAACAGTTGCTCGTGTGTATTATTCCCTTACTGGGTGCAGTGCTTTTCGGTGCCTGTTACATATGGTGACTCGCCTGACACTCCCGGCATCGCTATGCAGGAGGGGCCTTACGATGCCTGGGTTACAGGGCACACAGTCAGGGGCTCTGAGGTCAGTGCCGCACGTCGGCCTCCTGCGGGCTGAGGTGTCCGTCAGCACGCTCCCTGCGTCCTCGGTCAGACTCCGGCCGCTCGGTCTACTCTTACCCTAGTTGTCCTCCCTGAAGTCAGAGGTACAGCTCACACAGGTGTTTGATTTTCCATTTTATTAATGTAAAATAATACTGATAATTAATTTTTACTAATTAAAGCCCTGTTCTCTTGCTTCAAAATCAGCATCCTTTATGATCCAACACTTACTCAGTGGGTGAGCCTGTAGGGAACTGGGCGCTCTGTAGACCTAACCGAAGTCTAACTGGACTTTATCCCTTTGGTTCCACTTGCATCCTTGATGGTCCGTTGAGAAGACACAATCGAGGGGTAGATTTGTGTTTTGTTTTCTTGAACCTGCTGGAAAAACAAACACAATATCAGCTACTGATAGATGTTATTTCTATCACAAAATAGAGCAAAACTAAATTTCCTGTTGAATAAAGTCAGTAGGTTTTTCAAATCTGCTGATTCAACGTCAGAGTTTACAATCTGCGACTCCATATTTCATTGACATTCCTGTCCCTTCAGATCAGCATGGCATTGTGAATACTTAAAACCTCAGGATTTTCTCATTATCTCCTAAACAGAGTGTGTGTTTTGCAGTATGAAGAAGCTAGCTTTTTCTCACGCTTCAGAGTTTTTGTTTAGTTTGCTTTATTTTTTATAATTATCACTGTACTTTTGATGTATATTTATCTAAGTTGTGAAGAGAAAATTTTAATAGATTCCTGTGTTGCATTTGGTACTTTAAGTCCTGGCAGATTTATGCTGGAATGTAGAGCTCCATAGCCTCATTTTACTCTTTAGGAAATTAAGATTCAGGAGAAGAAAGTTATTGATCTGAGCTCACAGAGTTAATTACAGAGTTAAGGCAGTATCTTAGCTACTCCTCTGCTGATTTGTAATCCAGGGGATGCTCTCTGGTGAATCTGCAGAGACAGCACAAAAGGCAGTATGATGTGCAGGATGTTCAGAGAAGCATAAGCAGTACCAAACTCTGAAGATGTTGCATGAATACGAAAATAGTGTGAGTTTAGCAAGGGCCCCGATCGCTGGAGCTGGTCTTTCCCAGTCAGCACGACCTGGATGAGGCGTTTGGACGTGGACACAGGACACAGTGCAGAGGCTGAGCCAGCCAAGGGGGTAGACTGACCCTGTCTCCTGCACAGAGGATGAATCCCAAAGAGTCACGTCTTTCATGAATGAACTTGAAAACAAATCCACCCCATAGAAGGGGCACGATAGGGATTCTTACCTGTGTGGCATTGGCTCTAGAGGGAAGAGGGACAAGAACAAACAAATGCCCCCGAGGACTCCTAACCCCAACTCTACCCTCATATGGCTGGGGTCTACGCTTCCTGTGAGGCATGGAAAACTCAAGCTGAGAGTGAAGTTAAGGTGATGTCAGGTCTGCAGGCGCCCCAGGTCCAGGCAGAAGCAAACACACCCCCCTCTGGAGGGTAAGGAACTTGTGCGTTTTGAACTCTATTATCAGTGGAAGCCCGTGCTCATGAGAGTCAGGCCTCAGAGGTTCCCAAGTTTAGGGTTTGAAGAAGCTGTGGAGACCCTGACCCAAAGGATGAAACCACGAGGAGGAAAGCCACCATTGGCAAGAGACAGCAGAAATAAAATAACTGCAGAAATTGACCCACAGAGACTTCAGGTTCTGCAGTGATCAGGTTCATGATGTAAATCCATGTGTTTACCGTGTCTGAAGGCATAAAAGTGGTTATAAAAGTACGACAAGGAAGAAGCCTTATAAAAAGTGACCCAGCAGATGTGAT